TTTTAAGACATTTATCAAAAATCAAAGAGTTAGTAACAGTACAGGGTGAATTTGAAACTTGATCTTCTCTCTCCATAGCACAAGTTCTTAACCACTGTACATGTAATTACCAATATATGTAGGGTGAAATGTACAGTTTTACAATGTGCTTTCTACTTTTTTTTTTAACTTTCTCTTCTTCCCTTCTTTTGGATTCCATAAGTAACTTTTCACTCTTTTTTTTCCATTGTATTAGTTTGACAGTTATACATTTTCTACCTACATGCTGTGGTTAACTTTGAACAAAAAATGCATTCATCCTTTATAACATATAACCTAACCATAACCAATAAACTTTACACTCCTCCTAGGCAATGCACCATTCTTACAGCACTGTAAATTTTAAGTATCTTTATCTACCCATCAATCTATCAAATACCCATATTATGAAAAGAAATATTAGTGCATGTATGTGTATATGTTTATGTGTTTGTGCATATATATACATATACACACATATATACACACACACACAATCACAATAATGAATAACATTTAGTACTAACCATGTGTCAGGTGCTGTTCAAGGCATTGCATATTCCAATTCATTTTATACACACACACACACACACACATACACACACACACGCACACATATATATATAGAGAGAGAGAGATATTAATGTTATTAATATCATGGCCCTTGGTTTCCAGATATAGAACTTCTAAAACTCTTGTAGGTGGGAGCACTAGGCTAATCTTTTGTTCTAATATTTGGTTTTTGATCCCAGTTATTGACATAGCTCTCAAGACTCTATAATTTTCTTTTTTCTTTCTTTTTTTTTTTTTTTTTTTTTTGTTTGAGATGGAGTCTCTCTCTGTCACCCAGGCTGGAGTGCAGTGGCCCAACCTCGACTCACTGCAAGCTCCACCTCCCAGATACAGGCCATCCTCCTGCCTCAGCCGCCTGAGTAGCTGGGACTACAGCGCCTGCCACCGTGCCCAGCTAATTTTTTGTATTTTTAGTAGAGACGGGGTTTCACCGTGTTAGCCAGGATGGTCTTGATCTCCTGACCTCGTGATCCGCCCGCCTCGGCCTCCCAAAGTGCTGGGATTGCAGGCATGAGCCACCGCACCTGGTCTGTAATTTTCTGAATGATACGAACACCTGATACAGAGCTCCTAAATCCTTTGATATATCCTGGGTGATTGAAGCATCTTTTGTTCTAATGAGGCAACTCCTTGGTAGCCTCTGGATGGAGGCTAGTTGCCCAGGAAACAACTGGTTTGCAAGAGTTTAAACTTTCATCTGCCACGACCATTGGTGAGGAAAGAGAGGCTTAAGGTTGAGTTGACCACTAATGGCCAGTGATGCAATCAATTATGCCAACATAATGAAGACACCATAAAAACCCTTAAGCACGCAGTCCCAGAGCTTCCAGTTTGCTGAGCACCTGGAGGTGCCATGAGGCTCCATGCCCCTTTTTATATACTTATCCTATACATCTCTCCCATCTGGCTGTTCATCTGTATCCTTTGTAATATCTTTTATAATAAATCTATAAAAGTAAGTAAAGTGTTTCCCTTACTCTGTGAGCTACCCTAGCAAATTAATCAAACCTGATGAGGGGCTTGTGGAAACTCCAATTTATAGCTGGTTGGTCAGACGTGTAGGTGAAAATCTATTTGCCTTTGACATCTGAAGTTGGGAACTGGGGCAGTTTTGTGGGACTAAACCCTTAACCTGTGAGATCTGACCCTGTCTCCAGGTAGGTAGTTCCAGAGTTGAATTGAATTATGGAACACCTAGTTTCTGTCTTCTAGAGAATTAGTTTTTGGTGGGTGGGGAGAAATTCCCTCACATTTTGGTGACCAGAGGTAAAGTGTTCTTTTGAGTGTGTGAGAGTAGGAGAAACACATATTTCTTCCCACCTCTTACACACACACACACACACACACACACACATATTTTACGCTCAATTATTTTGATGATTTACTGAATTCTTTGACACCAGTCTTATCAAAGATGTCATCTGGAATTTTTTTCCACCATACCATTTGTCCTATCTAGGTTTTTCTTAAGGGTATTTGGAGAAGTTAAATAAAATAATTCTGTTGCAATGCTTTTACCACCAAAAATCTGTCTTAATTTTTAAAAATATCTTTTGCAAATAAATTGCTCAGTCTATCCTTGTATATTTCTTTTCTTCTATCTGTGCCCTTTTTGCTTGCTTATGAATTAAATTTATGATATTTACATGGAAAGATTATAGATAATATTTTGTTTTGTTTTGTTTTGTATTTTAAGTAGGTCCATTAAATGATGGATTGAACATTTATAAGAGCCATAATTTACAAAATGGCTCCAACTTAGCTCCTAGTTATTACTCCTGAGTTTTAAGAATGATAGTCACATTGTATGTAACATCAAGAAAGAGAACAGCATATCATTTGAAAGCTTCAGGGAAACTACAGTAGCTTTGTACGTATGTCAAAAAAAATTGTATGAAGAAAGTGATTCCATTACCCTTAACTTCACTTATCAATACTCAGAATGATGTCTATATTCTCCTAATCTGTTCCCTGTCCCTGACCAGTCTTACCTCATGGGAGTATTAATGTTTAAGTGCAACATTCTTCCAAATTATTGAATAGATTAACAAAATCTAGAAAATTGTATCTACATGTTTATATATTCATCCAGATCTCATTCAAGAACTTATACGACATCTTCTTCTGGATGAATCTAAATTCTTTCTAAATGTGTCTCTACTAGAAAGTACACTGCCATCTATCCTGTCATGCAAGCCAGACACTTTAATACCCTCATTCCTCTCACTCCCCTTTGTACAATCTGCCACCAAGTCTTGACAATTTTACCTCCTAATACTCTCACATTTGTCCACTTCTCTCTAATTCCACCAGAACCTTGTAATCCAAACTTCCTTTTTATATTTTTCTAGCTTGTACTCTAAGACTGAAATTCTAACCAATCTCTGAACATTTAGTTTTGGTTCCCTCCAAACTGTTCTACTCAGAGTGCCAAGGAGAAACATACACATGCACACAACAATAATAATAAATAACACTTACTTAGTATTTACCATGGGTCAAGTGCTGTTCGAGGGATTTTACATCTTCTAACTCATTTAATCCTCACCATATGGTAGGTGCCATTACCTGTCTCCATTTTACGGATAAGGGAACACTGAAGCATACATAATTTAAAGGTTCTGTCCAGGATATGAAGCCAGTAAGTGGCAAAGCTGGGATTTGAACTCAGCAACTTTAGCTTCAATGTTAGTGTTCTTTACTGCTGCATGATGTTACTCTACAATGAAAATAATCCCTTATGATTTAAAACTCTTCAGTGACTTTCAAATTGTTCTTAAGGATTAGAATCTTTAAATTCTGTGTGGAATATTCTTCCCTTCTACCTTGTGCTGCTAAATACTTTTAATCTTTTATATGTTTCCTTAATCATTATTTCTTTAGGGAATCCTTCTCTCACATCACTATTATTAATTCTTTTGCAGCATGCAGCTCTCTGTTAATATTTATCACATATGAAATTGTATATATTTTTTGTGATTTTCAGTTAACTTGTGTCTCACTGTAGAATAAACCATAAACAGTATTATTTCATCTGTATGTAGTACAGTCATATATATGGTACTCAATAAATACTTAAATTTAAAGAAGGAGGGAATGTAGTAAATTCTTAGAGTTGAAAAGTTCTTGGAGAAACATTTCACGACAATGTTGCTTCCACATTAGGATGCTATTTTATACTCTTCCTCTTGAATTATCACTTATTCACTGTTTGAAGAATTCCAGAGGTGGGTAACTCTACCTCAAGAAAAGTTAATTCCATTGCCGGCTGACTTGGAACAACTATTAGAAAATTCTTTCTTAACTAGAGCCAAAATATGGCTTCTTATCAATTTTACTCCTATGTTCTACTCTTCATTTTGGGACTTCTTGGCATATGTTCTGGGCCCTTTTCAAATGACATATTCGCAAATATTTAAGGTTATGTTCCCCTTTACGTATTTTTTTCTCAGTCTAATGATATCTGCTTACTTCTATTTTATGACATAATTTTTATAATTTTATTTATGTGCTTTGAGGTCATTTAAAACATTTTTCTTTTTGTTAATGTCCATTGAATTGATTTATTACTTTCAGTCAGCATTTTAAAAACTATGTTCAAAGTTTGTTGATTGGTTCTCCTTCCTCACTCTCAAATAAGTTTTGGTGTAAAAATAAGTAATAAGTTTGGTATAAGTTTATAGCAAGGATTGGTTCTTCTTCACCCTCAAATAAGTTTGGTATAAAAGCATAGTTGCATATTATATTATTTTCTTGGAAATTTACATTATAAAAGAGCATATTAAGTTTCTAAGAGGCTTTGAAGTAAACTATTGGACATTTTTAACCTAGTGTTTTACAAATATATATAATCATTTTTCTGTGGAAACATGCCAGATTTGTAGAATTTTTAAGAATATTGTTAGAAAAATATATATAAAGGCATACATTTGTCTTTATATACAGATTGCTTATAGCATATGCTTGCAAAGTCAGAAGGCTAATGTAAAGAACATGGCACTTTGTTGCTTCATGAAATTCTGTTTTTTTTTTTTTTTTACTTCACAAAAATCGAAATATTATGTCAAGTGATTAGAATAACATTTTTTTGTGTTTTCTGGAAGAAAAAGAAAATGAAGGTAGGAGTAAACATTTTTGCATATATTTATGCCAGAAAGTGAAAATAATTTTTTACTGTAACACATTTTTATTAAAACATGTTCTTCAGTTAAGCTTGCTGTCTTTGAAATATTCTGTTTTGTTAGAAAGCACTCAATATTTTTATTTAGAAAATCCAAAAACCACAATGAAATATGAAGAACAATTTGCAATTTAAATGGATTTCAAATGTTAAAACACTAAGATTCCACAAGAAATGCATTATAATAAACATAGAATTTAGAACTTATAAGAATACAGTGGACTATATCTAAAAACAACAGCTACAAGAAATGGTAATGAACTAGAAATGATTACTGTTTCATTATTTGATATTAAATAACAAGAATTATTTAGTGATTAAGTATTTGATTCATTCCATACCCATCCTCAAGCTAAATATCAAACTTGTACTGCTGAAAGTTACTGAGCAATCTGCAATTATTTTATTATGATTACAATTAAGAAATATCTTATTTTCTCATTTTCTTCAGGTCATTCTCCTCCTGTTTGATTATTACATTTATACTGTAAATTATGGTATCTGCATAAGTAATTTTAAAGATACACAAATATGTTCTTTTTATTATATAAGAATATAATTGTGTTATTTAGTGTTAATAAGCTATGGAAGATACCAAAATAAAACTATCTTTGAGTTGATAAGCTATCTTAACTCTGTGTCTGTTTTATTAATTAAAAGAAAAGCAAATTAATGCAGACTGTGCTGCATGTAACTGGCAAAAGCATCTTTGAATAGAAAAAAATACACTGCACAAATGAAAATGGTGGCCGAGAGCAATGGGGAATATGACTTGTGTCCTAAGCCTATTAATGGTAACCACATTTCATGTCAGAAACATTAGCTTATTAAACTAATCTTAGATTTGGTGAGAATGTGTTTAAATAATGACAGCCTGCAGAAGTCTGAAGCAGGTCATTAAAGCCATTGGGACTGGTGGTTTGATTTCGTTTCCATCCAGACGGAGGTAGCGAAGATGAGGTCCATAACTGAAGGAATCTCGTTCTGCAGGCAGTGTGGATGGGCTGGGACATATTACAGAGACATTCACACCTACAGAGACAAAGAGCATAGATGAATGAATTGGAACACAAGAGAAACTAACAGTGGGAAGACCAAAAAACTAATGCCACGGTCCTATGGAGGGCTTAGTGGCCTAATACTTGAAAATGGTGGTTATACAAAACATTTGCATCAGTGAGAGATTGTGCCTATCAGCTTCATAAAAGTAACCCCAAACAAATGTTCAGCAAACTTACAGTCATCTCAGTCCATGTTCTGCTACTTAGTATAGAGCACTAGTAAGGAAATACTGTTAAGATCTGTGATAGAAACAAAGGGGTATAAGACATCACTTGTTTTCTAAACTTGCAGGTAAGATAAAGCACATTTAGATTGCTGTAGGTAGGATTGAGGGCATCAGAGGTGGAGACAACAATTCAGATTTGGGACTGAAAGAATGGGTAAGTACAAAAGTGGATGGATGGATCCTGGATGGGTAAGTAGAAAATCAATCTAATATAAAAGAAAATGCTTGAAAATTACCTTAAAAGATGCAAAATAGTGTACATAACATGATTTTAAAAGTACAATTAACATAACATTATATAAGCAATACAGAAAACAAACTTGAATCTTCATCTTCAAGTTTACTTAATTGGAAATAAAAATTTTGCCAAGAATTGAATGACAAAGAACTCAAGCCAGAAAATATCCCAGCAGCCTTTTCACATGGTTAGGATGGTGGTAATTGTGCACCTGCCTTGGATCAAAGCCCTTGGCACCAGTGACTATGCTGAGATTTAGGAACATTCAGGAGAGAAGGCCAGTTAAACTAGCAAAATTCAGGGAAGTCTGTAAAAGCTGATTTCAACCATGAATCCATATATTGCCTTTAAATTCCTTTTCAAAACCATTCCAAACAAGAGATCTTCCCTGAGTAGACCCACTGAACTTGGACAATGCCCCTCCTCTATGGTCTATTGTTTTATACAGACTCATATTGTAGTGAATAATTTTATGTTTCCAGCAAGGTTGCTTTGCTTTGAATTTATGCCATTTTGTAAAATGAATTTAATAAAAATAATGACTCATTTGAATAGCAGTTTAGTTGTTAAAAGTCAGGTTCTCTTTTTTTACATACATTCATGTATCACGTGATCATCTCACAGGCTTTATCAGGCAATATTATCATTCTCCCTACCTGGGCATTTGTGGGAATTCTGGTTCGGAGAAATAAGGAAATGTACACAATGTACTTCAGCAAGTAAGTGGCAGAGCTGAGACCTGGCCTATTCTTTCTATTTCTACCATGGGTCTCTTGCCCAAGAGAATATGTCCCTTTCAATGTGCAATCCCCTTATCCTCATCAAGCTCATGTCCCATAATCAGTGTATGTCTGAACAAATGAATATAAAAAAGAAGTATTCTAAATTTAATTACGTTTTCATAAATTACACTGTTTCTCAGGGAACACCAGAAAGCAATGTAGTTGAGTAAATAACATTTTTACCTAATCTTAAATCCCTGAAAGTTTTCAGAAGAATAAATATTTCCATCATATTGCTTGAGACAAGTTCACCGTCTTGTAAATTTTGATGACTTTTCATAGAAGAGGTATGTTTCTTGGAGAATACTTTGTTACAGCCAGAGTAGATTATGCGGCAAGAAGCAGCAAGTACTTAAACAGTTTTGACACAGTGTGATTTTATTATGTCAATAATTCCCTCCAGGGAAACTCTTATATTTATATTCTTAAATATTGAAATAACAAAATTTGATATCTACATTAAAAAGTAAATAACTAGATTTCTCTTTGTTGCTGTTCTACTGATAGAATTTTTTTAAATTTTGCATTCCTGACACTGAAGGAAAGTATTGTTATTATACTGTATGAGTGAAAACACAAAAACACTTTAGGCTCAGGTTTTGGCTATTGCATTTACCCTTTGTCCTTGGGCAAATATCCTCCCCTAGCTGATGTTCAGTTTCTCTTTCTTCAGAAATTCCTAATAATATCACACAAGTTTCTTGCAAGGATTAAATAGTAGTTCTCAAATCGTGAGCCAGCAACATGAATACTATTAATAACTGGGGACTAAACTGTGAGGCCCAATCTCTGACCTAGCAAGTCAGAAATTCTGGGGGTGGAAAACAGCAGCCTGAGTTTACAAGATCTCCAAGTGATTCTGATGCACACTAAGATTTGAGAATGATAGAAATATATGATAAAACACTTTGATAAAACTCTAAAAGGTGGGTCTATACTACAGACATAATACTCTATAAACTAAAGTCTTATACTTCTCAACTGTATTTTAAATGTTGCTACCTCACTCTTAAACACCCTAATTCACAAATGCTCAGGATGAAATGCCTAATTCGTAAGCAAGGGCTCTATGTGGAGTCACTTGAAGTTTACTTCCCACATCAATTGTACGTGGGGCTTTTAAGGAACGTACCTGTAATATACCTGTAGAAGCCAAGAACACTCGTCAGAAAAAATTATGTATTTAGGATAATATTGTTGTTTTTCTGATTCAGCTAAACAGATTCATCTCTTAACATTTTTTTTTCTGTTGCATCTTTTGTTTTTGACTACAGGCTTAAACAATACATTTCATCACCATGGAAAAATAACTGCTGTGGTGGCAAGCTGCCATTTAATTCCTGGATTGTAGGCTCAAGTACACTGTTATTTAACTCCCCCCACCAAATAAAAAAAAAAAAAAGTATTAAATAACTGAGCAGTACCCAGTGGAAAAATAGTCTGTTCCTATAAATTGTATGTTTATGTGATTATTTGCTTAAAAAGCTTTAGTGAGTAATACCCAGGCAACACAACCTTTTGACAAACTATCTTTGTTATTCTCTTACAAACTATCTTGACTGAATCTCACTTTTGGAATGCATTTTCTTAGGTTGTCCTGGAGAAATCTCCTCAAAGTTATTTTTAAAGGGTCTACTCTGAGGTTGAAGATGCATAGATAAATGTCAGGCTAGGTATTGTCTCCCTGTGGCTGGACCCATTTTTACACCAAATCCAGCCTGGTCGCATAATTGTGAAGAAGCCAAGTTTGTCTCTAATGTGTCCAGCACCTGCTTTTTATAATCACTTCTTCTCTTGATGATGTCCCTGCCTCCAAAAACTTTGCGTTCCTCTGTCACTCTTTTATGAAAAGTTCTTTCCAGGAAAGAAGAGAGTATTCTACCTGCCTAATGCCTATAAGTCCTAACTACCAGGGAAATTTCTTTCCATTTTAATTAATAAAGCCTTAAACTATAGTAGTAGTTCTCAATGTGTAGTTCCCAGAATATCAACTGGAAGGCTGTTAGAGATGAACATTCTCAAGTCTCATTCTATGTCTACTGAATCAGAAATCCTGGGGGTGGAGTCACCAGCCTTCACACACTCTTTTGAGACTCCCAATGTAATTAGGGGAGATTAATTAGAGACTCCAATTAGGAGAGTTTCAGGCATCAGCTGTCATATAGTGTTCAGGACAGAGATGCCTTCCTAATACCTCTTAAATCATATTTTCTTTATTACTAGTTGTGAGGTTGTTTGTGCCTGATATGGTTTCTTAAATAAACCTACCCAATGGGGCAGAAATATTGGAATCTCCTGGAGTAAAAGAAGATAGAGGCATTTAGTTTCTCTAATGGATAATAGTCCTCTGTAGATGACTCAAGTCCACTTTTTAGTCTTCAGTTTGAAGATTTGGGCTTCTTGGTTCATTAAGACTCTCTGTGTATAGACAAAAATTTAATACTGAAAATTGAAAACACACTAAAACTGTAAAGGAACATTAGTGGGGGAGGGGGCAACACACTTGCTCTTTTTAGTGAAGATAAAGATACGTTTAATGACCATGAGCCGTTTAGTCAAAGACGTACCCTGCAGGTTACTTACTTTTAATTTTGTTATGATCAAGGTGAAGGTGCTGCAGATGAGCACTGATTCGGGGAACCTTTGTGAGTTGATTGTGTGACAGCTGAAGATCTAGAATTGATGATACATCAAATCCTCTTGATGGGAGACCCTCATCTGATAATTTGTTGTGATTTAGTCTCAAAAAGGCCACTTTAGGAATCACATTAAAATAATTTTCTGGTATTCCTTCAATGGAATTGTTGTCTAAAAACAATTGCATTGTATTGGCTGGTAATCTTGGAGGCATATTCCTCAGGGCATTCTTGGCCATGTTTAGCTGCATGAGGTTCTTGAGTCCTTTAAAAGTGTCTCTTTGAAAGGCATTGTCCACTAATTTATTGTTCTGTAGGTCAAGAAGGGTCAGGTTCTCCAGATTGCTGAAAGTCCCTTGAGGAATTCTGGACACCTTATTTCTAGCTAATTGTAATTGTTCTAAACTTCTTGGCAATGGAGAAGGTACCTCCTCTAGCTCATTATCTTCCAGAAATAGGAAGAGCAACTTCTTTAGCTGGCTTAGGGCTCCTTTTTCAATTCCATAGTTGGTTATTTTGTTCTTGTTTAGATTTATCCATCTTAACTGGGTGGCATTCTCAAATGGCTTTTCAGGAATGGTTTCTATCAGGTTGTTTTGAAGATAAAGATACCAAATTCTTGAAGGAATAGCAGGAATTTCTTTGAGGCCTCTATTTTCACAATATAAAGCAGTAGGAAAACTGGGTGGGCAGAAACATTCCACGGGACACTCGAAGTCATGAATAGTCCAATCATCTGAATCGTGTACTTCATAGACCTGCCTCACACTTCTAGTCCACACAGTGTCTGTTATGAATAACACCCACAAGATGAAACAGATTGTGCCTGCCATTATAGCACCTACAGAAAAAGGAACACAACTGTTAGATATTTGAAGATCTTGACCTTTAGATAATTTTATACATCAAAATGATCAGGAAACATTGCTTCTGCAGGGAAGAGGTGAAAATATGTCAACATTTCATACACAGATCTTAATCAATATACATTAATTAGTAGGCACCATTTGCAAAGCATTTTGCAAACAGTGAGAATAATTCACCAACTTGTAGCTTTCTGGTTGTAACTCAATCACAATAAAAGCTGAGAAATGGAAAGAAAATTTTAGCAGCTCTAAGTGTTTTTCCATTTCAAGCTATTTAATTTAAAGAACTGAACTGAAACCAGTAGTTGAATACTAGAGTACAAAAAAGTGATCTTTTTAAAACTCAAACTGGGAATCTGTGTTGTTCCTGCGAGGAAGGCATATGCTTTTACTTTTACTCCTAAATGAGGAGAACATCTGGATGAGATTCCCTAGGCCTTTTTGGCCCTTGAACCAAAGGAATGAAGAGATCAAAGAACATTTTAGCACTTTATGGTGAAGGAAGGTTCTAGGATCTGAATAAAAGTGTGATTCATCTGTTATTCTGTAGCTCAACTTCTTAGGTAAGTTTTTTGAGGGTGGGGGAAGATGTCTATAATTTTAAGCACACAATTAAGCTGTTCAGCCAAGCTACTGAATTATCAATTCTCTCTCTCTCTCTCCACTCACCCTCAGAGAATATATATATTCTGTCTCTACATATGTGTATATATGTATATATAGAGATAGAGTTTATTATATAGAGTTGAATACATTGTGATGTATAGCACAAGTACTTGAGTATTGTATTCAACTATGGCATTATTATGGTTGATAAGAAACAAAAACAACCAAAAAACATATTTAGGATACAGGTAGAGAATTTCTTTATATTCACATTATCAGTGTGGCTAACAGAAAGTAGGTTAGCATTTACTAATATTTGGTACATTTAAAACACACAAACCCTCCCCACTGATCATCAAAGATTTTTGGTACAAATAATTATTTTAACAGGAAATATACATATATAATATATTTTAACCAATTATTTATAGCATAAATATGTTACATATATATTTATATATATATATCAGTAACATTCTGACCAATGTACATTTATTGAACTGATTGATAATAGGACAAAATAAATTTTACTGATTCCTTAGGAAAAGATAAAGTCAACTTCATTTGTGAAATGCTGATCATTCAATTTTGCCATTAAATTGCATAAAACAAGTGCAGAGCTGCTTCTGCAAGCTGTCAAATTTTCTAGGATTGCAGAACGCTGCTCTGGCCATGTTCCAACAAAGAAACATTATTTTTTTTTCTTTTTCAGAATAGAGTTTTGGTTTAGTTATTGAAGTTGTAACCCTGCATCTGTTGAATAAGTACTTTGCATGCTTAACTTTAAGAGTTTTTAAAAGTGCAAAATAGTTTACCTTGCCTTCCAGGAATACACCGTTGAGTCCTGTGTCTGAGTCTGAAGTTTGCTAAAAATCACTTAAGAGAAAAAAAAAAATCTTTGACGAAAATAATTTGTTTTTACTTTAAGCTGTCAAGCCTGCTGTGAGAAACAGTGAAACCTACTCGTACCATTCACTATGAACACCTTTGATCTATTGTTTCCACTTTGACAGGGCTTCAGAAGACTGCTTACCTCAGCCTCCTTGGATCTTCTTCTTCCTTTTCTATTGGTTACTGCTTGTACATGGTAATGGATTGACCCAGGCTCCACTGTCGTGTTTTTATGAATCCTCTGTAATATATATGCACTAGTATATCCAAATTTAACCCCTCCAACAACCACAGAATCCCAGTGCCTACACAAGCCAGCAAAGGAAATTCTTACTTTAATCCTAAGAACCCATAAAAAAATTCTAGACAATTTTCATTCCTAATTCACAGTTCAGTTCATCAGTACATGTTGTTATGTACTGATATCCAGACCTTATTTACCAACAGGCACCTGAAGACAGTTTTAATTTCAAGTATAACAAAAAGATATTTTAAAAGATTTTAAAACATTTTCCCTAGATGATCATTTCTTAAAAATTGAATACAAATAATTAAAAGCCAATGTCTTCTGTTTATATGGACATATTTTATCTGTTTCTGATATAAAATAGATGCTGTAAAGTGTTTGATTAAGGGAAAAATAAATAAATATATGCATTTGAAAAATTTAAACGTGATATCTGGAAAGTGCTACCTGATTTTGTTGCTAATCTTGGTATTATGCTTTGTTTCAGAGAAATAATTTTTGTATCCCTAATTGTTAAAAGAAATAACAATTTATTCCAAGTACCTGCTAAGGTGGGATAATTTTTTTATTCATTATAATATAACACATATTTTGCATATAGTCCCTTATGAGACATTCTGTTACACCGCTACTTTTTTCTTTAACACATATCTAAACTAGTGTGTCCTCCACTTCTGATATTTGATGAAAAAAAATTATGCCTCTTGAGAAAAGATGCAAACAAAAAAATATCTCATTTACGTGTTATTATATAGGTGTTATTCTGTAGGTGTTATTGATTGTTACGCTTTTGTTTTTCAAAATCTGTCTTATTCTAGCTTCAGTGAATGCTATATGACTCATTTAACAGCTCACATGAGTATTGTCAAAGAGCACGGTGAAAAGGAGTAAGCATTGGATTCAGAAGACCTTTTGTGAACCACCTCTGTCCTCTCTCCTAACCATAGAAGGGTCAATTAGAGTTCAGTTTTGTCATCTATAAAACAGTAATGGATTGCTTCACAGGGTTAGGTCTAGTTTGTTATAGACGATTACAGAAATAATCACCTTACTTTGGAATTAGCCCTACACTCTCAACTGGAAAATGCCTTCATATTTAAGGGCTTTTATAGATTAAGATCCTATTTTGACATGATTTTTTACTACTCCTATAGGTATGTAGGTGTACTCACATCACATTTTAAGAAGACAACCAAGTGTTATTTACTTTCTCATAACAATTGTCTCCTCTCTCTGTTGCATTTCTTCTCCCTCTCTTTTCTTTTCCTAAATCCTCGCGATTTAAACAACAGATGATCTTCAAATCTGCATAGCCCTCTTCCAGCTATTGTCTTACTGTTAATTTTTTTAGCCAAACTGATTTTAGTCATTTTATAATTTTCTTACACAAATGTTGCTACATGTTCATTGTAGGAAAATTAGAGTAGCATACTGGCTGCTTCCAATCTGTTTCCTCTTCACCATTCCACTCATGATCTGCCAACCAAAATATGACTTCTAATTCTGCTTCCCTAAAATGGTTCTGACAAAAAATCAGCAATGATCTTCACATTTACTAAGCTGTTCAAGTCTTTTAGTGTTAAGCACACTTGGCCTTGGACCATACTGACCCATCCCCTTTTATTAAATGTTTGTCTTAGTTGTTCTGACATCACTCTTTCCTAGTTTTTCCTCCCCTTTTCTGATGACTTCTCTCTGTCTATATTCCAAAGCTCTAGTTCCTCTTTGTAACATTATTTAAGATTGTTTCTAGCATTTGGAAGCCTTTGAGATTCTGTCCTCTGCTTTACGCTTTTCTTGCTCTATACACATTTCCTGCATGATTCTATGGTTCCAACCATCTCCTCCATCATGATAACTCCTGAGTCTGTATCTGCAACCCAGCCACTAGAAGAAGACCTGCTTTCCAATGTGTGTGCATATCTGCTTTCTAGATATCTCCTATTGCATGTTTCAAGGGCATATATGTAAAATGAAATTCTCTGTCTCCTTTTACTTCTAACTGCTCTTGTCATTTTCTACTTTTGAGACTTCTGTCATATTCAGTCTCCCAAACCACAAATCTGGAAATCATTCTTAAGTCTTCTCTTTCATTCTGCGCACATATGATAACAATCACATTTTAAATACTTTGGGAGACACGATACAAATAAAAATGATCATCTACAATGCTTGCTGAGTTTGAATATCATTGTCTCTAGACTAAAAACATAGAATTGTTTCCACTGTCAGGGTAATCACTATCTGTGTCTTGATTTTTTCTATAACATTCTAATCTACTTTTCTTTGATTATTGATTCCTGAAGAGTGGGTACTTTAGCTCTTCTCCTGAACTGTTTAATAAATTTCAGAAGTTAGTAAGAATGTCTGAGTCATATGAACTGATATAAAAATTAATAAAAGACTCTGGCTAGTCCTATCTGATATTGCGAAAAGGTAGAAAGGAATCCTAAAGTTTAATAATGTGGCTATGGCACTATCTAGTGACGGTTTGATATTTTTAAAGTCTATGAGGCTTTGCACATAGCAAGTAGTCAACAAATGTTTACTGAAAGAATAAATAAGCAAATAAACATATAAGACACTTGCATCCTTTTATAGCCATGAGTTTTTGATCAGCATAATTGTGTAAGTAGGAACATAATGGAAAGCCTTCGATATTTGATTTTTTTTTTTAATGTGAGTTTGAATTTTCCTTTTGTAACTTAGCAGTTGCTTGGCCTTGCATAGGCCATTTCACTGTCGTGAGCCTAAGTCTCCCCTTAATATACTTTCCCAGAGAAGTGCTCGAGGTCATCTGAAGATCAAATGAGATAATGAAGGTGAACATGTTGGATAAGTATAGACAACTTTCATAGTGAAAAATTCAAAGCTCCCTGGATCTTACAAAGCATTTCTTCAAACTCTTTCTTTTCACATATGAGGAAATGATGCTAAAAATTTATTTCAGAAGAGAATGTGCCTTCCAGAGATAAATCCTTTCAGAAATTTGAGAGGAAATAAAGCTGCTGTTCTTGTATTTTTTGTAACTTCCTTCCTTTCTTTTTTTTTTTTTTTTTTTTTTAGCATTTTTGGTTTCAAATTTACTTATGTTGCTTCTACTTCTTCCTACTAAAAAGGAAGACACTTTGCTAAACTGTCTCTCACTTAGGAATTAAGCTTGTCACGTTCTTGAAGATTATTGACATTTAAAAGAGAAGATAATGCATGAGGGGATAAAAGACATGAAATTTCAAATTTGCTGGCACTTGTGTCTGACACATCTGTTTTCGGCGATGGTTGGATGGACTCCTTAGGTGCTCCTGGGAGCTTTGTTTCTTTAGAATTGATTGAACTTATGCTAAGAAAAATAATTTTCTCTTAATAAATCAATTGCAGCTTTGTTTGAATAAACTTTGTTATATAATTTTTTAATATAAAAGGAATCCACTAAAATATATATCTAACACACTTATACACACATATATATAAAATCTTAAAAGGTCAAAGTAAGACATTTAAAATACTGTAATGATACATTTAAAAAGTCAAGACTACCATAATACTCATAATGAAGATAACAATTACCAACCCCATCCACTTTAGTGTAAGTCCTGCTCCCAAGAGGCCATTATTTTTTACTTTATTCTAAAGTTTTTTTTAGTATTTGTTTAACATTCTGGCATATTATTTTTTAATTGATCAATGTAACCTTTTTAATTAAATTAACATTTAACACGCTTGCTCAGTCCCATATATGCATATCACAAAATTTTATTAAATATTTAGTGCATACTTTTTTATACAATATAAACATTGTCTACCAATAAAACACTGCAAAAGTACTATAGTTTCTTTATTGTAGCACATGTATTTGCTTTCTCTCTGTATATGTAACTGTACATAATACATTACATATACAAATATTTCATTCACATTTTTCAAAATCTCAAACAGAATTGTAAAATTACTTGAAAAATTTGTTTCCACTCAGTGAACAGAGGCAAATGGCATGGTGGTTAAAGTCAGACCTCCTTGAGTTTGAATACATCTCTGCCATTTAGTAGCTGTGAGACCTTAGACAATTATATTTCTAATTTTTCTCTGCCTTAGTCTCTTCATCTTTAAATTAACAATAATAATAATAATGATACTAATATGTAACTCAGGAAGTTGTGGTGAAGATTAAATGAGTCAATATTTCGAAATGACTTAGAACATTTTACAAGTGTTGATGTTAAAAAACAGACATATTAGATTCATTTTTTTTTTTTCTGGGAGATAGCATTTCTCCTGGGATGTTCTAACTTCTTACTTCAATGTGATTTCCTTGCTGTTGCAAAGTAACCTAAGCTAATTTGATAAATCACAGTCATTAGGTTCTTTATGTGACATTTCAGTTGCCTTATAGTTATCAAAGCCTATAAGAATCCTCTCTTACCACCTACGTGGAGGTGCTTTGATAAAAGTTAAGTGCAACTCAATTGCATGTCATGTAATAGACATATACTTGCAGCAGGCATTAAAATAATTCATGTAGTAGGTCTTCATTATAAGGTTTCTTCCAATGTTAAGTAAGCTTCCCTAAGGCATAAATTAAAATTAACACAAAAATAAATCACACTGTTTCTCTTGAATTACTGCCTTTTAAAGTGAATGTATGGATATTATAAACCTCACTTTCTGGGTCTGTCAGGGACGGTTATGGTCTTGGGTTTCCCTTCACCCAGCTCCTGTGTTGGATTCCTTGTTGCTTCCACCATGTTGTGTTTTCTTGGTTAACTCCACAATATTGGCAGATTCCATCCTTTAATCGCTTCACTTCCTGTTACCTAGGATATGTTTTTGCTTTTTTTTTTTTTTTTTTTTTGATAATTCACGTTTTAAAATGTGTTTATTCAGCCTACCCTCCTACTTGGTATTTTAACTAAATAGAATTTTAATTTAAAATAGTGTTCCTTCAAAAGTTTGACAATATTC